TATGGTACCTCGAGCACCGCCAGGAGTAATTCCTGAGTGCATGAGCCAGGAGTAACTCCTGTGCAACGCTGGGTGTGACCCAAAAAGCAAAAAAAAAAAAAAAAAAAAAAAAGAGGAATAAATAAAAACTCAAACAATATTACTGGCACACAGACAGCCAAGCAGTTTTCTGAAAAAGTTTTCTACTTCTCATTTCTACATAGAAAATGCTAAAAAAATATGGCTGGAGAGAGAACAGCAGGTATGGCACTTGATTTGCACACAGTTAACCTGGCTTTGATCCCAGCACCTCGTATGGTCCCCAAGTCCCACCAAAAGTTATCCCTGAATGCAGACCCAAGAGTAAGTGCAGAGTATACCAGGTGTCGCCCCAAAACAAAATTAAAATGCTCAAGACACTAAAAATCTCACAATTAACAATAATTAATTGGTTATTTCTGTCAACTATTACTGATAAGAAGCAATTAAGTTTTTTTCCCCCCAAAACAAAGTTTACAAATGCCTAGTAAGTCTTTGTTTTACTCTACAGGACTCAAAGTCTAACTTTTCTTCTTTCTATGAAGAAGGGACCATAGCATCTATACAGTGGAACACTCTTATTTCACAAGGCCACAAGTGCTTGAATGTAAGACTTGATAAAGCAAGAAGCCATAAAGCCATAACCAGCATGTAGAAAGCTGGTTCCATAGCATCCAACCGTGTGATGCAAGTCTGTGGCCAAATTTAACTTTTCTGGAATAAAACAAGTGATAATGATTTCGTTTTCTAGGGAATATTTTTGGAAAGGAAAAAAATAATTGAGAGTGTTGGTCCTAGAACAATAACTAGCCCTCATAGAAGAGAAGTTATCCTGAGTACAACGACAAACCTATATTCTATTTTTATTGCTGGGGAACATAAAACCATCTTAGCTATTACAATATTTGAAGTATGTGTTCTCTCTCTCTCTCTCTCTCTCTCTCTCTCTCTCTCTATCTAAGTACATTTAGGTTGACCATTAAGTATGTCAGTAAATAGTCCTATGATTAATTAGGAAAGAAAATTTGGAGAAAAAAATCAGAGAGGGAACCTTACAAAGAAAAATCACAGCAAGAGCAAGGGACTTTAGCTACACAAAAACATCATCTTATAAAAGTTTCAAGGTTTAAAAACAGATGAAAAAAACATGCATTAAACCTGAGCTTAAGAGAAGGTGAATGAAAATAAGCTCTTTTGATTTAGAATCTCAAGCTGTGGAGTCTGAGACTGTTGATACAATTTACTGAGGGTTAAGGGAGAATCATTCTAAAGGTGATTTTAGCTACAGAATCTACAGAAGAACCATTTTGCTAATGCACTTACTTAACTACAATGAACATTTAATATCTCACATTTCCTGGATACTCTGTTAAGTACGTGGGAGAGATCATTAAACATTTGTATCTTCAACTGCCAAGCTAACTACCATAGATCAACCAAGAAATTAAAATAAAACACTCAAAGAAATGAGCTTAACAGAAATTGTATGTCCTGGCCAACCCAATCTCATTTCTGCTACACAAGAACACACATGCATGAGGTAAGAACTGAACAGGAATCCTTGGATGAGTGATTTGATCTTTCTAACAACTATAAGTAAAATAATTCTTCCTAATATAGTAGGCAAGTTTTGTTTTTGTTTTTTTTTTTTCTGAGGCCACACTTGGTGGTACTCAGGGCTTACTCCCTGGTTCTGCACTTCAGGGTCACTCCTTGCAAGCTCAGGTAACCATATGGAGTACTGGGAATCAAACCCAAGTTGGCTGCTTGCAGGGCAAGCATGCTACCTTCTGTACTATCACTCTGGCTTCACTAGTATTTAAGTCTTATTTCAAATATGCACTAGTTGAAATCCACTTTCTTCCTTGTGATGGATAAGACTGAAATAAAAAGATCTGAAATGTGAATTTGTTAGACACCTTTCTGGTCTTTCAAATCCTTACCCTGCTCTGCTCTAGCGAATGAAGCCAATGGCTATGCCCCCTGCAAAGTGTGTCCTCTAGGAACAAAAAGAGAAAAACCAAGACTTTTTTTTTCTGCAACACAAACACAAGTTTGATGCACAGAGCTAGCACAGATATTTTTTCCCCCTCTGAATAGAAAATTAAAATGCTAATATCCTTGTTCAAAGGCTCTTTGTTCAGAAAGGACACAAGGTCCAGGAAGAAGGCATGTCATGGTCAACTGTTACTCACCATCTCTGATGTCCTTTATTAGTGGAGTCACCCTGGACCAGCCGCTCAATCTCAGTGAGATCATCAGGAGAACAGGGTCAATACTATCTCGCTATCTGGAAGACTGCCACGAGCTCTTTTATAGTTTTCACAGGGGTGTGTGTGTGTGTGTGTGTGTGTGTGTGTGTAGTAAGTATTAAAAAAAGAAGTAATGGGTAGATTTTTTTCTTTTTCTTTTTTGGCTTTTTGGGTCACACCCGGTTATGCTCAGGGGTTACTCCTTGCTCTGCACTCAGAAATCACTCCTACCAGTGCTCAGAGGACTATATGGGATGCCAGGGACTGAACCTGGGTTGACAGTATGCAAGGCAAACTCCCTTCCCACTGTACTATCACTCCAGCCCTGGGAGATTTTTTTTTTTTAGTTAAAATTATATAATGCACACAGATTGCCATTTCCAGCCAAGGCTGGAAAATGGAGCTAGATTCACTGTGCCACCCAAAGCAACACTCATAGACACAAACTATGTTTCTGCAAGATGTGAGCTATCAGGTGAATGGTACCTGAGACAAGAGAAACAAAGGTGACTTTCCACGACTGCCTAAGCTTAGTCTGGCTTGAGTCTCTAGGTTGTAGCTCCAGGCAGGGAAACTAGGCCAAATTAATTAGACAATCAGAACTGAGGGTATGGACATACTCAGAGAGGGAACACAGAGATTTGGAGGTGATGTCTTTGTAGGATGAGTAATAAGTAGCTTACAAAAACCATCACTGAGAAGCCTTATTTCAGGCAGGTACAACCCAGAGGGGGAAAAATTCAACACCAATAGTTGAATGGGAAGGTCTTGCCTCAGTACTGGGGAATAATTAATTAGCCAGAGATTGAACACTGCTTTACATTTACTAAGGTAAATGGTGTAAACACACCTACATTTACTCCCCTTTATTTTGTGTTTTGGGCCACACCAGCATTGCTCAGGGCTAACTCCTAGGTAAATACAAAGGTGATATAAAGATCAAATTTACCAAAGTGGAAGAAATTTTCATCAGTCTACGTGAAATAAAAGTTCTTTGGGATAAGAAAAATAATTTCAGATGGATCTACTCAAGGAAGAAAGAAGACCCAGAAAAGCACTATCTACTGAAATAAACATTTCTTTTTATGATTTAATTTTTTTTTAAAGATTATTGACTCTTTAAAAACATAATGTATGGTAAAAGTATTATAATAGCTCAAAAATAAGAAGAAAGAAAATGGAAGTACTTTACTACAGTGTTTTGTTTTGCACATGTGCAATAATATTCCTTGAACTGGTAAAATGTGTTGCTGTACTATCGTTTGAATTTACTGAATATTATCATGACCCAGTTAAAGATATTTTCTATAAACCTTAAAGTAATGACTATATAATGTGATGCTGCACTATCATTTGAATACACTGAATATTATCATGACCCAGTTAAAGGTATTTCCTATAAGCCCTAAAGTAATGACTAAATTGACAAAATAAAGACAGTTAAAAAGCTAGAAAGGGAGCTAAAATAGGATCGTAAAAAGTAATTGCTTCCTGAGGCAGAAATAAAAAAACAACCCAAACAAGTAAAGGGGAATAAAGAACAGATGAGACAAATAGAAATCAAATAACAAGATGACAGATTTACACAAAACCATATTGAAACCATATGAATAATGTCATGAAAGCTATGTGGCCTTTCGCATTAAAAGATAAGATTCAAATCTAAACTGCCTCACATCAAGAAATGCACTCAAATATCAACAAAAAGGTTAAATAAAAGCACAAGAATGAAAATAAAAAACCACCATGTTATCATTAATGAAAGAAACCTGGGTGACTTTATATAATATCAGACTAAGTAGAATTCAGAGCAAAGTCTATTACTAGGGATAAAAAGGTCATTTCTGAATGAGAGAGGTGTCAAAAATATCTGACAATCCCAAACATGTTTGCATCTGAAAATAAAGCATCAAAATATATCACATTAAACTTGATAGAATTGCATGAGAAATCACTAACCCACCAGTTACAGATTTCACCAAGTGGACATAATGGGACAGTCATACTCAGAATGGCCCTTTTAGATCCAAAGTAATCAGCTTTTCTGAGGAGCCTCACTCAGGAAATCTATGCTGCACTACCAGAGTAAGACTTTCTGGGCAGTTTACCTCTTTGCTGCTTATCGATCAATGTGAACTGTACTTCCTGCGGATCGGGCAAATCCTTTAAACCTCTGTAAATCTTCACTCCTCTCTCTCTCTCTTTATTTATTTATTTATTTATTTATTTATTTATTTAGCGTCACACCAGGTGGTGTTCAAGGGTTATTTCTGGCTCTGCACTCAGGAATGACTCCTGATGGTGCTCGGGGGACCATATGGGATGCTGGGGATCGAACCAGGGACTGCCGCGTTCAAGGCAAACACCCTACCTCCTGTACTATAGCTCCAGCCCCAAATCTTCACTCTTCTTGACCTCAGCTACACCACTGACATGATGAATGGACAGGCTTGGTTGCTCCTAAAATCCTTCTCACTTCTATTGGTTCCCAACTTCAGCACTATCCCAGGCTATCAGATGAAGTCAGTTGGCCCTACTCTTCTGCAGAGCAACCTAGGTGCACATCCTATTGAGAAGGCCTTTTCAAGGGGAATAAGCAAGAGTTAATGGTGCTCATGGCATTTTTCCTTCCTCCTATCTTACGATCTGCAGTCCTGAACAGCCCCTGCCTCCTGCCAGTGCTGTGCTCTGCTGGGAAGGGGTGGGGAAGGGATGACTCGGCAATCCTACCCGAGGTGGCACGGCCTGCAGGGCAGTGATGTAGTTCTCCAGAGCCTGTCGGCGGCGGTCATTGAGCATGGCTTCCACTCTGGCCATGTGTGTCTCCACCAACTGCTGTCTCTCATTGGCGGCTTCCTGCTCCAGAGATTCCACTTTCTCCTGGAAGTGCTGCATCAGAAACACACACACACAAACACACACACACACGCCAGTTATGAACCGAACAGTAGAATAGGGCCATTCATACCTTTCAAAGGGCTACCATCAAAGCAGAAATGGAGAGCTTGTCTCCCGAACTGCGTTTACACAGGAGGGTGTTTGAGGGGAGGGGTCCTTGGGACCTGGGTGGAGGGGAGGTGCAGTTTGGTTATAGATGTGGTATATAACGAATGGTTTTATAACTCTCGGTGTAATACAAATGGTAAAAAAAAGACAAGGGCTATCATTCCGTCCTTACTCAAAGCCAATAGACACCCCAACATGGGCAGTGGTTGGCAGCATGCTGAAATCAGTATGCTTTATATATATATATATATATATATATATATATATATATATATTTGCTTTTTGGGTCATACCCGGCGATGCACAGGGGTTACTCCTGGCTCTGCACTCAGGAATTACTCCTGACAGTGCTCGGGGGACCATATGGGATGCTGGGAATCGAACTTGGGTCGGCTGCGTGCAAGGCAAATGCGCTACTCGCTGTGCTATCTTTCCAGCCCTAGTATGCTTTATATTCTTATATTATTTAATTCCATCTCTTTATATATATATATTTATGTATACATATATAGCTCTGTGGCACTGTCCTGTTGTTCATCGATTTGCTCGAGCGGGCACCAGTAACGCCTGCATTGTAAGACTTGTTACTGTTTTTGGCATATCAAATACATCACGGGTAGCTTGCCAGGCTTTGCCGTGTGAGTGGTATACTTTTGGTAGCTTGCTGGGCTCTCTGAGGGGGTAGAGGAATCGAACCCGAGTTGGCTGCATAAAAGGCAAACACCCTACCTGCTGTGCTATATATATATATATATATATATATATATATATATATATGTTTTTAAAAAATTCCAAATTGGAGCGATAGCACAGCGGTAGGGCATTCGCCTTACAAACGGCCAACATGGCCGACCCGAGTTCGATTCCTCCGCCCCTCTCGGAGAGCCTGGCAAGCTACCGAGAGTATTCGATATGCCAGACACAGTAACAAAGTCTCCAATGGAGACGTTACTGGGCCCGCTCGAGCAAATCGACGATCAACGGGAGGGCCTTTACCTTTTAAAAATTCCAAATAATGTGCATATTAAAACAAAAATTCCTCTTTTGACCAGGATAATCTTGCTGTTTACCTGTTTGGTCAAAAATTTACTTCCTTGGGGCTGAAGACATAGTACAGTGGGCAGGGCACTTGCCTTGCATATGGCTGACCTGGATTTGATCCTTGGCACCACATATGGTCCCTTGAGCTTCTCTAGGAGTGATTCCTGAGCACGGAGCCAGGAATAAGCCCAATCACAGTTGGACATGGCGTCCAAACAAAAATTCCAAATTCTCAGATAATTTTTTTTCCAAGGAAAGAAGTAGCATATTATGGCAACCAAAAATATATGTTACAGATAAGCTCCAAGTAGTGAGCTTAATGAAAATGAATGATAAACTAATTAAGAACAACACAAGGTAGGCTTTAAGTAATCCAGTTATAGAAAGAAACTGAAAATAATCCAAACTGATGGATTATTATGCATGAGGCTCTAGCAATTGTTTTAAAAAAAACTTGTAGTGCAAAATTAAAAGACTTGACAGTAAGTTCAGCTTGTACAGAATTTTACCTGGATAACTGCTTTCTTATCAGCTTTTGGCAAGTTCTTGGCTTGACGTTCTGCTTCCTCCCATTCTCTCATGACCTAGAAAATGAGAAAAGAATCGAATTTAAAGTCATCAGTTCACCCTCAAAAAAGAGATGGAATGAGGATTATAATTTTTTTCTATTTTTATCATCCTAAACATTAAAAGATGATGACATTTCATTCTTATCTCATATTTGACCTCCCATTAGGTTGCATCATCTATTATAGTTGCCTATTAAATATAAATGTTCATGTTTATTGCAAGAATATTGCTCTCTGAAATTAAGGTGATTGCTTTTTCTTTCTTAGGTAAACTACCCAAAAGTCATTTCATTTAATGTATACAAGTATCAACAATTCATGAAAGGCACAAGTTGCTTAAATTAGGTTTTCCACTAAGAATTGAATACAGATTTTCATCTTCTGAGAAAATAAGTTGTAAGATTTAAAACTCTGTAGTTTGCAAATACAGAGCTTGGAAAAATATACAGAACATCTTTTGTAATGAAAAGAAACTCATAATGGAGGAAATCATGAAGTTCTCTGCTATCAGAACTCTTTAGATCTACTCCAATGAAGAGGTGGGGATTTTGCTTGTGGTGAAGAGGTCAAACAGCACACACTCTGCTTAAACCCTCAAGAAATTCCAAAAGCATACACATGGTCAAGTTTTGAATATTACACAAAAATAATCTTAGCATGTTAGGCTAATTCGGTAACTAGTCTTATTTCTTTCACGGAAAATTACACTTCCTTCTTTCTAACCTGATATTCTTTGAAGATTTCCCTAAATCATGATGACTCATGGATCTGACCGGAAAGAGGAAAGATTGGCCATTCATGTGGAAATATGGTACTAGACTCTCATCACATACATCTGCCTTTTCCCTTTCACGTGTATAACTCATTGTTACGTGTCATTTCTTCTTTAAGAGGTCCCACCTCCAGCACTCCAGGGATGTGTAAGGGCCGTGCTTGGAGGTCACCAATGTAACACTCGGTGGTGCTTGGGGGGTGAACACGCAGTGTGAGAAGTTAAACTCTAGGCCCTGCACATGTCAGGAATATACTTAATCTCTTAAGAAATGCCCAGGCCCCTAGAGTATATGTGCTTTTTAATTTATTTTATATTATTTTGGTTTTCGGTCCATACCCAGTGATGCTCAGGGCTTACTCCTGACTCTGTGCATAAGAGATCACTCTTGGAGGACTTAGGGGACCATATGAGATGTTGGGAATTGAACCCAGGCTGGCGGCATACAAGACAATTGCCCTACCTGCTGTACTATTGCTCTAGCCCCAAAGTCGATGGGGTTTTAAAAGCGGAATGTATACCTGAACTATATAAAATAAAATTCAGGAAGGTCAAGTAAGCATAAGCAAATTCATGTTCGGTTGAAATGTGCCCTTGCATACTTGTGATCTACAGAGTATAAGAGTGCAGAATTTCTAGTCCATGGGAGACTATTGATTACAGGGACTCATCTCTAAGGTGGTACCTCTTAAATCAAGATCCTCTTTCAACATCACCCACAAAATGAGGATCGGAATAACTATTTCTTTTATGGGGCCGTCCCAAGTGATGGTCAGGAAGCCCAGGGGTCACTCTCATTAATTCTGAGTTGACTGGTCCGTTGGTTTAATGCCAGAACCTGAGGGCACATGCTCAGGTCCTGTAGTGCTGGGGTCATCCCAGGGCATGGCTGGGGGTGTCTAGGTTCGCACCCAGTGATGCTTCGGGAACCATGTGATGCCAGGATGAATGTGGGTTAGCTGTATGCAAGACAAGGGCCTTTACCCCTATACTATCTCTCTGGGCCCTGGCATAGATATTGATAGAGACTTTGGAAGAGATAATGACACATCAAATCATCAAGTGGGGGTAAGGGACCATCTAAGCAGTGCTCACAGTCTGAAAGTCGTTCCTGGTGGTACTAAGCCAACAAGGTCATAGAGTTCAACATTCATCTCAGTGATGTGATGCTGTTTGTGTCCCAGAGGTGCTGGGCACCTCCAAGGCTATAATCATTGGTACTTGTGAACACGTGCTGTTAAGGTTCAAACCCTGGGCCAAGAGTACACAAGAAATGCATTCCAGCCCCTTGAGTTATCTCCCTAGCCCCTGACATGGGTTTTTTAAATGAGATATTTGATCATCGAGTCACAATAACTCCTTATATGAAAGTCTCGCCTCCCCCCGCTGTCTTCCTGGAATTATGAAGTAAATAGGAGAGAGTGAACATTCTATTGCACTTGAAGAGCACATAAAATGCAGTCTAAAAAACATTCAAAGCAAAACTGGGACAAGTGTCCTGTTGCTATGAACAGACAGAATGTTGAAGAAAAGACACCTACGGGCTCAGACGCTTTTCTGTCTCTCCAAGTTAAAGAGAGACGGGTGGGAGGAGGTCATTGAAGCCTGCTTCTGCTTCAGAGATGGGATACTAAATAAGAGCATTTCAATATCTGGCTTCAGACATGCTCACTGTGGTGGGACTCTTGCCAAGAATTCTTTAAAAAGGAACCTCAGAATTTGTTTGAGAGAAAAATCAAACACTTTATTGGTAGGGGAAAACGGTCTATTTAACATTTGTCTGTATTTAAAAAAATTTTTTAACCTCACGGCATATGTTCAGAAATTAGATTTTGAACTTCTGAGGCAGGTAATATCCTTATCAATTTTAAGGTGCTTTAGTACGCAAGAACTAAAGCACGACTATACAAATGTTTATATTCAGGCCAACTTAATTATAACCTCCACCCTCACAGATGAAAATAGTTCCTGCCAACCGCCACTTTGAGTCCTAATTAGTACAAGATTAAAACACTGTAGGTTCCATCTTTCTCTACGAGCAATGGCTTCCGCTGAGGTACCATAATGGATGATAACCTTACCTTGGACCTCTGACTCACCTACTCTAAGTCTTTACAAAATCTAAATCAACTGATTGAGTTTCTGGTTATTTAATTAATTTCTTTTGTCCAATGAGGCCTGACCAGACACACTGGACCAGGTGAGCTGCTGAAGCTCATGTAGGAAAAATGAGAAAAAAGGACATTTGGGGGCTCTAAGTACAAGGTTTTTGGCCCCATGAACCCACCTGCCTTTATAAAATGGAAAATACAACAGATGAGCTAAGTTTATTAACCTTTTGTGATGGGAGAAAAGGTTTTTCTAAGAAACTGATGCTTAGCTTTAAAAGAGAGGTCAACTTTTTAGAGAAAGGTCAACTTTTTGGTTTATTTTAGGCTACACCTGGCTGTGCTCGGGGGTCACTCCTTTCAGGTTCAGGAGACCATATAGGTTGGCAGTGATTAAACCTGGGTTGGCGGCATGCAAGGCAAGCATATCTTACCCACTGACTATCTCTCCTGTCCCTCAACTTTCATTTTGAAGAAAAAAACGTAGCTGTCAGCTTTGTAAGTAATATAAGAAAGCATTTTAACTTCTTCAATTCCTGTCTTTAGTAGATTCTATGAAATATATACAATGAAACCCACGATATGTTTTGAGTTAGCAGGTACAATTACCACCACTGCCACAAAAAACCCATAAAATCAAAACCACCTACATCATAAGAACAATCCTGTAAGAAAACAAATTAAAAAAAAGAAAACAAATAAAATAATTCTAGTTATTTATGTTCTCTTGACGATCCTATATTTTCCCCCCAAATAATTTTTAATTAAAGTAACACTGTGTTATAACAAATATTTTAGATATGCATCATTTAAAATCAGCATTTTTACCTACAGGCTTAAGTTGACCTCAGTGATTCCCAGCTGTCTTTCCTCATAAAAATTCCTATTTTAAAAAAATAATTAACTTCAGATAAAACCCAACATTTTCTATTTCACTCTAGCTAGCTTCTAATTTGGTTTCCCTTAGAATTATGCTAGGAGGGACAAGTAGAATTACACATTTTTATTACAAAGCCAAAGTGTTGTGGTTATGCAATTTCCCTCCTTGGTGTTATTATTCCAAAGTACATTCAAACATTGTTGCCACTCAGTTAAAAAGTAAATGGGTTAAACCTTTAAAATACAGATTCCGTTATTGTTCAAGGAAGGTGTAGCTGACTAATCAGAGGATATCCACTGGCTCCATAGGGAACTTGGGGGCAATATGAGTAATCCCCAGGATGAGTGAGGTGGAGGAGTCAGGAAGAATAAGAGGAAAATAGTCTTTGTTGTCGTTCTTGAGGGAAATCCTGGTGAGTGGGGCATAAAGCAGACTTACTCATAGGCTAGTTGGAATACTTCTCTTGGTTCTAGGACATAGAGGCTGCCATTAGTTGTATGATGTCCTCATTTTTCAGCCTTGGAGTGAACAGAGCAGTGATAGTAGGCCAATGCCTGCCAATTTAGTATAAAAGGGAGTTGGGGGTGTGACCTTGACCTTGGTGCTTCGAGGCCAGCCACTGATTCCTTTAGACTAACTCTAGAAGGGATTTCTAGGATGAGTCAGGACTCAGTGTCAAAGCATCAGAAAATACAAAAGCATGATTAATACCATCTACTGGAGACTTCTGATCTTAGGAAATAACATAGCAGCAAGACCTGTTAATCTTATTTCATGTCTATCGTGAAATCTTTTAGGAATCTGCACTAAATAGCACATGCATTAAGCACATCTTATGACAGTCTGCACTAAATAGCACAAGCATTAAGCACATCTTATGACAGTCTATTAACACCAGAGAATGGCAAACTTTAGCATGCGATATAAAGATATATATTTTGTTCAGTTATATTTCTTTAAATATTTTTCCATTAATAATTTTTTTCTCATGTTCTCTCTCTCTCTCTCTCTCTCTCTCTCTATATATATATATATATATATATATATACAAAAGATGGCAAATACCACTGAAAACCTATTTGATCTCAGAGAGAAAGACCTAAAATTCTCTGTATTATCAATTTCAAATATACTATCCAGCATCTGGAATAGAGGACAGCTACACTTCAACAGATTCAGAGGTATATTAACCAGGGATTTCAGGTGCAAATATTCTTCTTAACATTTTCCAGGGTGGGTGGGGGGGGGGGTTGCTTCTCCAAGGAAGCCAGGGGACCATTCTCAGCAAAACTCAGCCAGGTAAAGAGTGGGCCAGGAAGAGTGGGTCTGACCGTTTCAATGCTCACACTCAGATATGTCATGTTTCATGATCCACCGATGTTTGGGGTGTCCATATGGTGCCAGAGATAGAATTTTGGGGTTCCAGCATGCTAGGCATATATTCCACCAGCCCAAACCCATGTCTGTACAAAAAAAACCCATATTTTTCATTTACAACTGAAATGGTCACATGTATTACAGAAATAAGAACGCGGAGACTACTGTAGTCATAATTTCATTGGTGTTTAAATCCAACTGCACTTACTCTATCGTGATCTTTTCTGGTGACCTGTCTGATGCTCAAGAATGACTTAAAAAGCTCCAAGTCATATTTCTAGAGTAACCATTTACAGGAATACATCCTTTCTAGAGATCTGGATACAATGAAACATTAGGGGCATAGGAACCAGGGGCTAGCCCAGGGGGAGACCCAAGGCCGTGGAAAACCGAGTCCTCCCCTTTATTGCAGAGCTGAAAGATGGAAGCATCTCACTTACCTGGGACATTCTCTCACGGTGCTTGGCTTCCAGCCTCTCTTTGGCTTTCTGGAAATGGGCGTGTTCATTCTCATCTCCAGGTGTTTCAAGATACTTATCAACAGCGTCAGGGGTGCTGGCTGCGGTGGTGGGAACTGCAGGTGAAAGGAAACATGGTTTCAGAAGATAAGCTCCATCCAGTGCAAAGAAAACCATCGTTTCCAGGACAAGGGATTTAGTAAAGAAGCACATAAAAGATGTTAATGCTATTGAAGAGTATGCCATAGATAGTCAGCAGGTCAGTGAGCGTGTGTCCCTTTCCGATCAAATACAGGGGTAAAGGGGTTTCTTAAAAACAATTCAAGTGTTGAGTGCTGTTTCAGATGAAAAACTGCTTTGCAGGTCGATCAAATTAGTTGGTGTTTATAGTTTGTTTGTTTTTTTTGTTTGTGGGCCACACACAGCTATGCTCAGGGCTTACTCCTGGCAGGCTCAAGGGACCATATAAGATTTTGGGGATAGAACCTGAGTCAGCTACATGCAAAGTAGGCACCCTACCAACTGTGTTATGTTGGCTCCAAAACTAGTTGATGGTTTCAAACTTGCACACTTTTGCCAGGTGAACTTTTGTAATCTTGAAAATAAATGATAGTATTATCAATACCTAATTGTATTCCTACAAATACTAAGAATACAAAGAAATCGCAAGTGCAAAGTAACTTTATCTCAGAGTAAAGGTCAATTCTAGTTATGTCTTTTAGATCATTTGATAACAAGCTATTTGAGAAAGTACTGAAGCACATCTGCCAATGTTAATCAATTCATTTTTGAAATCACAAGGAGGTATCTATCTTCGCCAAATTGGTTAACAGTTTATGAATTATTCTAGTTGTCAAAAATAACTTCTACCTTGATTCAACTGCAACACTACTGAGCTGTAACATATACTGCTCTATTTTGTGGAAATAAATACCCATAAAATTGAAGAGTGTACTATAAAACAAGTGTCTTTATTCACAAACTGAGTGAAATACAATGCCTGTATAAACAGTTTTCATAAGATTAACATCAGTGTGTTTACAAGCTATATAAAGTATATACCTATAACATGAAAAATGAAACATGGCTTTTAAAATATAAAGTATATCTAACCTTAAAAAGAGATTAGGTTTTCCAAAATGTCTTTAGATAAAATGAATTGAAATGTCTTGTCAAAAGTTACTCAAATATCTCCAGTATTATAAGTATTCTGTTGTATGATCCTAAACTAATTATCTGGTTATTATATTTGGAATATAACACTTTGAGAAGAACTTCACTGAGAAGACTTTTGGGTCCAAATCATTCGAATGTAAAGGGTAAGCTAGATGTCTTCTATAGAGACTTCAAGAAAATATTTGGAATGTTAATAATATAAAGACTCAAAGATTTGAACTTTGATTTTAGTTACACAACTAATAATTTCAAAGTTTTTTGTTTGCATCTTGCTTGGTTGTAATGCCCAGTGGTGCTCAGGATTACTCCTAGATATATGTTCAGAGACCACTCTTGGTGGTACTCAAAGTACCAATTAGTGCTGGGATCATGCCTGAGAAATTTCATGCGGAGCACATGTTCAGCCCAGTGGACTATCTCTCTGCTCACACTTCAAATTTAAAGAGAGTATTGTCCTGATTCTTTTCCTTTTACCTCAAATCATCGTTACATATACTTTTAACAAAGCTATTTAGAGGTTTATCTAGATGCTGCTTTCGCAATGAAAGAAGAAAGCAAGGCAAATCCTTGAAATTTTTTTTGTTGTTTTTTGTTTTTTATCTTCTTTGGGTCACACCTGGTGATATACAGGGGTTACTCCTGGCTCTGCACTCAGGAATTACTCCTAGCGGTGCTCAGGGAACCAAGGAATTGAACCAGGGTCGGACGCATGCAATGCAAATGCCGTACCTGCTGTACTATCACTCCAACCCCTGAAATTGTTTTTTCGAAGCATTTATGTGCCCACCACACCTAGCTCTCCTGGCACCACTCTAAAATAGGGAAGTTTTGACTTGGTATGCAAACAGCACTGGAAAAACATTCTAAAACATTTCTGGTGGTAACTGATGATGCATATATATCTGCCTCCATCTTCTCTCAGGTAGACTAGATTAGTGAGTAGATTATTTCAGCAGAGAAGGAAGAAGGAAAAAGCATGGCTTTGCAACTGGGCACACTGATCCGAACTACTGTTCTTTCTTAGACTCGCTGCCATCAAATTAATAAGTAACTATATTCCAGTTTCATTAATCAAGTGGTGATAACACGCCAACATACTAGGAGTGTTGGGAAAGTAATCGTCACACCTTGTGTTTATCCCTGCATGTGGGTGGCACAGGGAGTATTTCATGCTATGCTCTTCCTCCCTCCTTTGTTCAGTGTATCCTATTCAAATTGTAGACCTCATGCTAAGCACAGAAAAAAAATCAGCTACTTTTATTTCACATCCACTGAAAATAAATTATATTCAGGATTATGAAGAACAATGACAGCAAAAAATTGATATGCATTTTTTACTACAAATTTTTCATCTGACTTGCATGAAGACAGGCATTATTGAAAATAAGTCCTCAAAAGTACTAAGAGAAATACTTAAAAATAATATAAGTTGTTGAAAATAAGTCCTTTAGAATATTTAAGTAAGTTCTTAAGATAATAAAATATGACAAAGATTAAAAATAATTTAAAATCTTTTGTGTATAAGAAAAACCTCAAAGGGATTTTGTATGTTAAATCAAGCAAATAAATGTGCAAGTATTTTTCATTTAATCATTTCTCAGCTTGAAATGGAAGTGGTGTTTACATTTTCAAGGTTTCCCTGAATCATTATCTCATTTCTACTGGTACAGATCAAATGAGAATATGGTAAAGTTTACTTTATACAGTACAAAGTTCACTTGGTAGAATAATATCATTAGACAAGCTATGTTACAAATTTTTGATAATGAAAATGTTAAAATATTTGGTGTTATAGCCACAAACCAAAATAACAACTTGCTATAGTACCATAACTATAACATGGCTCCCTCTTTGGAAAAAAATTATAAAAATTACTTTATAAATTAGGAAGGTTCTCCAACTTTCAGGATTTGAAAATATTGTCTACTGTATTATAGAAAGGAGATGAATACTTAAACTGAGTAACTGTAATCCCATTGGTCTAACATGAAAAGCAGCTTTGCAATATTAAGAATGAAAGAATAATATGGAACTTAGCACACAAGGCATGTTTAACAGAATTGAGAATATTTCAAATGTTAAATCTTTTTTTAGGAACCTAGAAATAAATACAAATGTACATTATTGAAGATATATTTTCTTCAGTTAGAAAACACTTCCCATCAACTGAATCCTTGTTTGCGACCCTTATTATTTTCCATAATTGGAGATTTTTAAAAAAGCATATATCTTTTTATCTGTAATGCAAACTTTAACCATTCTGATTATTCTTCCATCTCAGTAAGTATGAGTGACATTTTCCTACCTTCAAATCAACAAGAAAACCAGTATCACTGTTTAGTCAAGGAGTGAAAAATGGTAATAAACCTTGGTATTTAAAATAAATATTGTATTTAATCACTAATACCCTGCAGTTCATGAGGAGATGGATGAACATTTGCCTAATCCTCCCTCCTAAAAAAAATTTCACAACCTAAGCACAGCACCATCTTAGGATAGACTCCCATTTGTGAAGAAGTCCATGGTTGGCCATAATGACCAGTAGGTGAGTGCGAATGGGGGTGGGTGGGGGAGGGCATAAATAAATGCTACCAGTCTCTACCCCTTAAGGCATTTTCTTCTGAGAAAGAAGCTACTCAAAGAATGTCCGGGGATATTCCAAGGCAGAGTGGAACAGGAAGCTGCTTATCACGGGCCACTAAAAACATAAGTAACTTTAGCCACTTAGAATACAGAAACAAAACTGGATTGGGAGTACTTATTGCTTTAAAAAGCAAAAAAAAAAAAAGTCTTTTTCTGGGGGGTGGTCTGGGACTACACTCGGTCATGCTCAGGGCTTCCTCTCCTGAGTTTGATTTTTGGGGAATCTTTTTTTTTTATTTTTGGGTCACACCTGACGAGGCACAGGGCTTACTCCAGGCTCACACACTCAGGAGTTACTCCTGGCAGTGCTCAGGGACCATATGGCATGCTGGGAATCGAATCTGGGTTGGCCGAGTGCAAAGCAAACGCCCTACCCACTGTTCTATTGATCCAGCCCAATTTTTGTGGAATCTTTAATCACATCTTGGTCTTATTATTTCTGGAGAAATTTATTGCCAAGTCCCAACCTCGTCGAGCTATCTAGAGACATATGCTCTCCACATTCACCTCCTCAAATCTAAGGTAGGCATGGTTGAAGGTCTGGTTCCTGTACCTACAATCTGCTGGCCAAGAGCACAGTCCTACCTATAGAGGGGACCAAAATCCCACGCTGAATTTTGCTGAGGTTTTAAAACTACCACTGCGTGTGTATCCTTTTCACAGAACTCATGAACTTCTTTGAAACTGTGATCGAGGTTCTAATTTCCAATTTGGTGAAACGATAGCCCTATCATCAATTTGTATCCACGGTCAGTATGCAAGCTCCATTCCACACATGGAAAGGTGAAAATTACCCTAAGATGTTTGTAGTGCAGAAGGGAAATACTATCCCTTAACATACTCAGTCTCTCATTACACTTACACACACACACACACATACATATATACACACACACACATCTTAACTTAGGAACAGGTAAACTATAAAAAGACAGTAGTAAAGTAACTGTTTTGAGCAGTGAAGGGCTAACCTATTCACAAGTCAGAACCGGAAAGGGATTGGTGATATTCCAACAGGGAGTGGAGAACATTGTGCATTGTTGTCCTATCAGTCTATTTTTGGAAAAAGAGCTATTCCAGCCCTGAGTGCTATTTTTGATAGTGATTCCCCAAATCTAAGGTTTAGCAGAAGTTATAAAACAGAAGTGAGAAGATGCTAATGGAATAACCATCAGCACCTTCTTTCGACCTTCAACCTCTGCTTCCTCGTGCTCCACATGCCTTATGCAAGAAAGTCGCCAGTCAGGCTAAATTCTTCTTTGAACAGAATACCAGATTTGAACTCAGTGTGACTCAG